TTCTGAGTGAGGACCTCCTGTCTGCCACAGGTGCAGGGAGGGCAGAGGTGCTGTGTGTTCTTCCACCAACTCCTGTTGCTTAGAAGTCTTTTGTTTATTAATTCAGCAGATACATAATTATATGTATTTTGGTGGTTTCTTCCATTGCTACAGTTATGAATGTTATGTAAACTTGAAAATTTGTAAAGCACAAAATGTACATTCTTTTTAATTTGGGCAGCACTTAAAGAATACTTTCATATATATGTATATGTTCCAAATACAAATATTCCTATATTAATTGAGTATAACATATTATCTGTACATATACCTACTTATATTGTCTGAGTGTAACTTATATTGTTAGGGTATATACCAGTGATGGTCATCAATGACTAGAACTCAGGTTGACCTGTGAATGAAGAAAATATATTATATCACAGGACAGAGCTCCTCAAAGAGACGAAAACAATATTTTTGTGTAGCAAAATATTGCTATCGGAGACTTTATGTATCTGTGCTATTGTGGGTCTATTTAAATTATTTAAGCATATTTTAGGAAAAAATCCTTTGGGTACATTTTGTGTTTTCAGGCTGCTCTTGCACTATAATTGATTCATAAAGGAAAGTCTTCATGGAAAATAAGTATACTAAATAATAATTTAAAATCATAAGTTTAAAGTCAAGCAAATGAGGGCAAACCAGACAGTTTAACCCTATTTGAGAGAGGCATCATTACAGTGGAAATGAGGTGTGTTGGCAGCAGTGTTGAGGGAGACCACAGTAGAGAACTTTTCTGTTCCTCTTTCTAGGACCTGAGCAATAAGGGAGGGTGACACTGATGAGGGATGCAGAGTACCAGGTCCCCAGGCAGGGGGCAAGGCAGGACCTTCTCTAATGACACGTTCCAAGAGGAACCAGACCTGTCAGTTCCATGTTATGTATGAAATGTCCATTTTGGGGACACGTTTTTGTGTCTTGAGAAATGATAATATATAGTCTCAGTGGTCAGTGAGAAATTAAAGAATGTGATTGATTCCTGCATGTTGATAACATAATAAAATTGGAAGAAATTCACCTCCATGACCAGCCTCATGTTGATAGCAGGAATTTGACCAAGTTGTCTGTGGTTTCTAAACCACATGTTGCAGTTAGCTAGCTGCATAGACCTCAGAATAGAGAAGATTACTTTGAGCCTCATCAACTGTATTGTATTGAAATTTATATTCTATTTACATTGATAATAATTTGATGGTGTTATTGGGAAGTGATGACAAAAAGGAATAGGGAGTCCCTGAGGGGAGAGTCTCATGGGAGTGAACTTGAGGATTCTTTCTGATCCCCGGACCTCTCCCCTCTGGCTTGCTCAGCTCTCTGATTCCTGGATGGCGTGATGTGAGCAGCTTGCCTCTTCCTTGCCTTTTGTCAGGTTTCTGCCTTGCTGCTAGCCCACAGCAATGGAATCAGAATACCATGGACTGAACCACTGAATCTTGAGCCAAAATGAGCCTTTTGTCTTTTAATTTGTTTATGCCAAATGCTTACTCAATTTTTTAAAAATAGAAGAACTCAAGGGGATTTTACTAACCCCCTCACAAATGTTAGCAATATCAGTTTATATTTTCTTAAATGACAAGAATACTTATTTTGAATAGTATGTAAGATTGTTATTGAATACATATATGTATTTATATATTCTTTAGACTTTCTTATATATTTTAGCACAAATTTCATGTTCATAATACTGACAATCTTTGTATATATCGTCATATTTCTATAATTCCTAGTCCCATCCAGTTATGTCCTTTATCTGATATGAACATTATTTGTAATTAGTTATTTGTTAATTTATGTATTCATCAATGAAATATTCTGCAAGTTTTCAGAAACTTATGCAATTTTTCTAATACACCACTAAAAGTCTTATCCTTAAATTTATGGTTTTTGTGTTGAACTCCTCTGAGCTAATTAGCTTACCTATAGGTCATTGTCTCATTTGCTGAATATATAAACTTATTAGAGCTTTATAAATTGTTTGCTAGAATGTCCATTCTATCAGAATTCCACCAGAAGAGTGGAGCAGTCTACGTTATGTCCTCACCATCACATTCAACTTAGCAGCTTTTCAATTTAAGCCAATGTATGATAGTTCGGAGTGTTGGATGTGACTTTACATTTATAATTTTCAGGTTATCTTGAAAGTGAAGTATAGACGTGATCCATGATTGATTTCTTTACTTGGAATTATTATTTGTGTGTTTATGTTATCCAGTACCCCATGCATTAATAGTGTGTAATTTATTAGTTCAACAAGAAGTGAATAATTATCAAGTCTGTTGCTTATTCTCTTACTACATTTATGAATGATTTTTCTGATACAGACTTAAGCTTGAATATATCATGTTACATCATTATCTGCAGTTTCGATCTATTTAAGCAATTCTTCAACTCTAGTTAATATTCAACCACATAGACGTGTATATAAGCTCCCATACACCAGGTCTGTCCCAGTGTGTATTGTTTGACTAAATACAGATCATGGACATAGTGATTATAACTGAGTTTTAACATTGGAAAGAAGGAATTCCATGATATTACAAGGGATTGCCTGCCACAAGAATAAAATAATTTCTATAGTGTCACTTAAGATTATATTTGAGTAGGAAATGTTTTGTGTTTATGTGTTGCAGTGTTACTGAAATGTATTAATCACATTTTAAGACATCTTTTGGTTACATTCCATGTCCTAAGGGTGTTATTGTATAAAAAAATTAGTGAATAAAGGCATGCACAAATGAGCTGACAAAACAATAATTTAAATTTAATGAATACAGATGAATGGAGGAAGGGAAAATACAATGGCTTTATCTCTGCAAGAGGCACAGGGTGCAGGGAAATGCAATGCACTGGAGCAGGACGGAGCTTGCGCAGTGGAGCCCATTTCCGGGCACTTCATTCCCTGACCCGGAAGTGAGGATGGCAGCAAGGGGTCATGGAGTGGTCCGGGTCAAACAAAACAGAGATGAACGTGGAGTAGATGGCAAGGCCATGGGAACGCTCTTACTGATGGGAGCGGGGTCTGGTCTGGGAAGAGACAAATCCACTCATGAGTTCTGTTCAATTAAATAAATTGTGATTTTGTTGTGGTTGCCAAGTTTAAATATAGTCCTGATAAATGCTGATGTCTAACGGGATCAGATTTCAGAATGGGTTTTATGCCTGTGCTCTGGGTGTATATATACACTGAAAGTGGAATAGCTTCCCGATTCTCAGGCAGCCCAGTGATGACCCCAGAAATCTGAAGATAAGGAACAATGCTGCGATCACTGCATGGTGCCATGTATGAAGAAAATTGCTTCAAATTGGAATTAAGACTCTAGGGAAAACGGTCTGGGATTCCAGGGCAGTATCTATTTCCTGTTGATTTCTAAGTGTTTGATTAAGCCAGTCAACTTAAACAACAAAATTATTTATAAATGTTATTAGGAGAAATTATGAAACACAATTTAGACAGGCTAAGGAAGGGAATGCACAACGTGTTAAAGGTTGCATACAGGCCTGTGTGTGCACTTTGTCCTAAAGTGCTTTTCAGCTGGTACCAGCATCTATGTGTGGAAAACCATGCACATATTGTAATGAACATTGTAAAAGCAAATGGGTGACATTTTTTATCTCTGTTTTAAATACATCACTGGAGAAGATGCTCCTGTTCTTTATCCTAAATAGTTACGAAGGAGAGACATGCATTAGTAAATTAAACATTTTCATCATATTCTCTCTGTACAGACATTAGCATCTCAATCTTAATTTTAGTACTAATTTTAAGGTGAAAAATGTACTTAAAACCTAAACTGGTTTTTCCCCAACCCTTTTCTCATCGCCTCTTTGACGTCTTTGTTCCTCAGGCTGTAGATGACGGGGTTCAGCATGGGAATCACAGTGGTGTAGAATACGGACACCACCATGTCGTGCTCCAAGGCATAGTTGGAACTTGGTCTCACGTACATGAAAAGAACAGTTCCATGGAAAATGGACACTCCGGTTAAGTGAGAGCCACATGTAGAGAAGAACTTTCGTTTCCCTTCTGCAGAGTGTGTCCCAAGAATAGCTGACAGAATGAAACCATAAGAGATCAGGACTATTAACACAGTAAATATCTCGATAGCACCAGCAAAGTAAAAGAGTAGAAGCTGGTTTGTGTGAGTGTCAGAGCAAGAAATCGCGAGCAGAGCAGGGATGTCACAGAAGATGTGTTGGATGACATTCGGCCCACAGAAGGACAGGCTGAAAGTGGCCACCGTGTGCACAGTGGCATGCAGAATCCCCCCAAGGAAGGAAGCGATGATGAGTGGGGCGTAGACCCTGGGCGTCATGCTCACGGAATACAGCAGCGGGTTGTAGATGGCCACATAGCGGTCATAAGCCATTGCAGCCAGGACAAAGCATTCTGCGGTTCCAAACATCACAGCAAGAAACATCTGTGCTGCACATCCGAGGAGTGAAATGACTTTCTTCTTGGACAAGAAACCCACCAACATATTTGGGGTAATAACGGAGGAATAGCAGGCATCCACAGAAGACAAGACACTCAGAAAATAGTACATTGGGTTGTGCAGCCGGGAATCCCCAATGACCAGCAAAATCAGTCCTAAATTTCCCAGGAGAGTGATAAGATAAACTGCTAGAAACAGGAAGAAGAGGATGAGCTGCAGCTCAGGGTTGTCAGTGAATCCCTTCAACACAAATGCAGTGACTTCAGTGAAATTCTTCATGCTGCCAGTCACAGGACGAGCTCGAAGATACTCCTGAGTGTTGGATGCTGTTACTAGGAGAGAACGAACCTTACTGAAATAATAAAAATGGCAACTATGTCTGTGTATTCATTTATTTTTTTTTTGTTGTTTGTTTTTGTTTTTGGTTTTTCTCTGGTACCGGGAACCGAACTCATGACCTTGTGCTTGCCAGGCAGGCGCTTTGCCGCTGAGCTAAATCCCCAGCCCCTGTGTATTCATTTATGTATTTCCATGTGTCTGTGTGTGTGTGTGTGTGTGTGTGTGTGTGCATAGACAGCATAAAATTTCCCAGCAACAGATCCAACTAGAGTGACAAGACAGTAGTAGGAGAGCACATGTCATTCATTGCATGGTCAAGGAGAAAACATATGTTTTTACACACTTAGTAAACTAGTACATAAATCCTAAATCACATGTCAATTGATTAATGTTCCCTTGAATTATATTACCTAGTTTCATATTAAGTCACATTAAAAGACAAAGTACTGTCTAAAAATGTTCCTTATTTCCTAATATTACAAGAGGTATTATATAAGGAGTAGAACATTAAAATAGAGTCACAGCTCCATGTCCGTCATCAACTGTGCAGCATGGTTTAACCTGTCATCCTCACACTGTGAAGAATTAATATTTATTTTACAAGGTTGCTGTAATATTTGATGAGAATTTTGTTGTAAATTGAATCTTTCAAAAACTATAATTATAAAACAAGCTAAATTTGTTGGCTTTACAGAGTATTCAAAGAGGGTTAACTCAATGAAAGACATTTTAGATTATAATTTTGTTCTGCTGTGTGTATATATGTGTATGTATATATATATGTGTGTGAGTTTTAAAAAATTAGCATGCAGTTTATCACAGTTCTGCTTGCTATGCTACAAGGGCCTTACATTTGCTTTGAGTAAGAAGACGTTTTAGCTAAATTATCAGTGGCAGGTTTTCCTATTAGCTGAGAAAATAAAATCATATTCTTATAAGAAAATTAATACCGGAACATAATCAAAAGATTCAGAGTTTTAAGCAGAAATGATTTTGATTCTTGACACTTGAATAATAAAGGATCCATTTATAAAGTAAATGTAAATCAACTTCTGTAACTTCCACCTCAACGGAAGGACTAAGAACTCCAACTATCTTCAATTTTATGATGAAACTCTAAATTTGCCAAAGATAAGCAAAATAGCAATAGCCACTTATTGAAAATTTGTTGCAGGAATGGATTTTGTGTATATTACGTTATTTCACATTTACAGAAACTTTCTCAGCTAATAATTTGAGAATCCAGCTGAGCATGGTGGCACATGCCTGTAATCTCAGCATTCAGGAGGCTGAGGCAGGAAGACTACCATAAGTTCAAGGCCAACCTGGAATACATAGTGAGATTGTGTCTCCAAAAACACAAATAATAATGGTAACAATAGTAATTTCAGAGTCAAGACTGAGGTCTTAGTCTTTCTTAGAGTATATCACACTCTTGGCCTTTTCCTTGTTTTTAATATACTATGGCTTCATATTCCTCCCAGAGAATTAAAGCAAATCATGAGTCTTGATGTGTTTTGAGATTTTTAAGCAACTCAACCTTGAGGAATATGAAAGAAATAGTTATATTAAGTAGATAACATCACTGATATAAATTTTAAGTGGTTATTGATAGTTTTCTTTATAATATCAAACTGTAAGACCCCAGATAGTTGAATATGTCAAATACTTCAGTCCACTCTCTTGACAGATTTCATAATTTGTTCTTACTTTGAACTATCTTCATCAGCCATAAAAATGAAACCACTTCGTAAAGAGCACTCTTACTTACCTATACAACTAAAAATTAAATCTTTTTAAACTTTCTTTCTTTCCAATAAGTGTTTGCTTAAGTTCTTAGACAGAACATGGATAAACTGGATCCTAATAAATAAATTTCATTCACATTTGCAACAGGCAAGAAACGTTTAAGACAATATTTGGTTTTCAGTAGCAAAATAGTTTCTAAAAATAACGTAGATATCCTTGAAATCTTAGGTTCCACCTGCACAAATACACTTTAAACTATTTGAAGTTTTCCCTTACCCAAGACACAGCAAATGCAGCTTGGGTACACTGTGAGGATGTCTAAGTGAGGTTGTTTTCACCCAGGCGTTTCACTTTTAATGAAGCCCATGGATGTTCCTAGGGGCATAGGCTTCAATTATCTGCTGTTCCAAAATAGCAACATAATGACTCACTTCCTAATTTAACAAGTAAATGTCCTGGAATAAGGCTTAACTAGTTGCTATTTATTGAGTGGTATACTTCAGACTCTCTTTAAACTGTTTTTGAAGTTTTAAAGTTTACACTTTTTATTCGTACCTGTTTTCAGTATCATATTGAATTGTTTAAAGTACTTCAGATTTGCATTTCCCTGATGATCAATGATGTTGAATATGTTGTTTTTAATCCTGTTAACCATTTTCTCATTGAAGAAAAGTGAATTCAAGTCATTTGTCTATTTATAAACTAGGCATACTTTGTTTTTGAGTTTCAAAGATTTCTTACATATTTTCATTATTAATCCATATTGGGTGGATTAATAATGGTTTACAAACACTGTCTTCTGTTTTTTAGTTTGCCTTTTCAATCTGCTTCATTTTTCTCTTTGTTGTGCAGAAGGGTTTCATTTGATCTGGTCTCTCTCCTCTAATTTTGTTTAATTTCTTGACTTTTGTGTCGCACTTGAGAAATCATTGCCAAGTCCAAAGTACTGAATCTTTTCCCTGAAGATTTGTTCTAGGGCATTACAGTCAGGACTTATGTTCACATCTTGAATTCCTTTGGTGTTGAATTTTCTATATGGTATAAATGGAGGTTCTCATTCTTGTCCACATTGTTTTCCCAATGTCGTTTGTTGAGGTGAATCTTCTTTCTTCCTCTGTGTTGAAGATCAGCTGACCATGTATGTGTGAAATTGTTTCTTGGCTGTTAACTGGGTTCTACTACTCAAAAAATATTTTCTTTATGCAAGTGCCACACCCTTTAAATACACCTTTTATTTACTGAACTGAAATTTATTTGTGCTAAGATTACATGTTAATGCAGTACCATTGCTTTTTTCTAAACATATGCACAGTGTCGTGTACAAAATCAGTTAAACATTTTATCTCTTCAAAGAATAATCATTTCTTTTTGATGAAAGATTCACAATTCAACTGCAATGAAACAAAGCTCTTCTGGGTAAGATGCTGGACAGAACCTGTATCATGCTGAGGAAAAGGCATTCTCAGGGCATAACCCATGAAGGACAGTGACTCTTTTGCTGTGTGCAAATACAAGCACTGATCTGAAGATTGAGTCACCACTGGTGCACCATTCTCCGACCTCTTATGCATTCAAGGAACAGAATGTGAACAAGGTCAGACTATCTGTCATGCAGAGGCCAATTTAAATGCTAGTGTCACAAGGTGTTGCTCACGGAAGAACTGCATGCACTGTTCACAGCCACTGTTAAGAAATATCTTTCTGACAACCAACTGCCTGAAAGGTGTCTTCTTCTGATGGACAGTGTGTTGGCACACCCTCCAGCCTTAGTGGGTGACTATGGAGAGCCCTTCCTGGTCCTTGTTGTGGCCCAGAAAGTTTATATTTGTAATCCCATGGAAAAATTATTGGAATTCTAGTGAGTTAATTTCAATCTACCACTTCCAGTGCAAGCCATGGAGAGAATAAAGACTGTAAGCCATATTTGTAGTTATGGGGAGCCAAGGGTCCCTAAGTCCAACCACAATGGTGGCTAATTGGAAGAAAGGCCCTGAACCAGGATTGAACCCAGATTATATTCATTTTTGAGGAAAGGCTTGAGGATGCATGACTAGGAGAGTTGCAGGAAGTACATGAGTGCCATGAGCTGGGCTAGGTAGGAGGCCTGAAATCACCTCTGCAGATGCAGAGAGCAGGATCTGCAGAAAGAGTAATCTGCATCACACAACTGAGATAGTGTCTAATGTTTTGAGGTTGGTGCTTCAGCTCTGATGTGTGATCTTTTAAGCCCTGGGAAGTCACAGCCTCTTATCTTGAGGCTCGACCCCAGCTGACTGTGTTGGGTACAGCTCTTCATCCCGCCTCCTCCCGGCTTACACGTGGGACCAATGGCTGGGGGAGCCTGTGGTAACACTGCCCTGTCATCTTTGCTTCAAAGACTATACATCAGCACCTTGGTTGGACCGATTTGCTCTGCTTAAAGCCAATTGAAGCGATAAGGAAAAGTCCTAGCCAGCTCTGTACATATCAGTACGTGGAAATAGGGTCAGGCTCAGCCAAAATGGAGACAACTGCTCCTCCTTCAAGGAGAGTTGTCCAGGTGGTCCTCCACAGATGATATGGACACTGAGTATGACTTCATAAAGATCAAGCCCTCCCACCCCCACCCAAATGACAGGTTTTCTGCAGCCCATGGACCAGCAAGTGAATGGGAACTTCTAGAATCTGTACACAAACATGTTCTTCGCCAGTTGTTGTAATGCCACTGAAGAGGCATCCATGACCCTCAGAGAGTTCTTGAAGAAACATGTGAATGTCCTCCACTGCACCAACCTCACTGACAAAGCCCGGGAAGACATTACCTACTGGATCTTAAACTCAGCCTGGAGAAAACTGCGGCCAGAATGTGTCAGTGAACGTGACTTTGAAGGGTCCACAGAGCAGGTAGTGGAGGAGACTGTGTCCATGGGCAAGAGCTTGGGTCTGGACACTGATGGTGCAGACATGAAGGAGCTTGCTGAACTCTAGAGTGAGCAGCAGAAGGTGATTACTGAGGAGCATCCACTGAGGAAGAAGAAGACAGGGAGGAGGTCAGCAGTGATATGAGAAAACCCATTTGGAAAAGTGGAATGAAATGAGTGGCAGGATTTCTTTGAGAAGCACCACGTTGTATAACTGTAACTAACAGAGTGTTGACTCTGATGAACAATAGCATGGTCTCTTATTTCTGGAGGGTTATGCAGAGCAGAAAA